CAGTTTTCTATCGTCCTTCGCTTTCGCCCCAACCTTCTCGACGAAATCGCGCGGAAACGCTTAGGTCTAAGGTATAAAGCGAAGAGAACCCGGAACAGAGAGATCAGTAAGGTTTGTTTACAAATTTTTTGTTTGCTAATCATAAAATTACCTTGCGTGTCTCTTATTCGCTTCCGATTGGTTTTAAAAACAATCAGCTCCTGTCACAACTCGCACATGTGCAGTATCGTGACAAGTTTCCTTTAATCTGCATTTTTGACGGTTGACTGTAAAAAATGTCCTTTTTTGACGGTCGATGGTTAAATTTTAGTCTGTTTGACGGCTGAGGGTTAACCCTATTGTGTTAAGCTTAAGCCGGTCTCATGGGTGTTGTTTGCCAAATAGCATCGTCATGTTCAGAATATTCACTTCAACATTATTGCTTGTTATCGAGTTTTGTTCGTCGATAATAATCGATAAATAATTTTTTTGTGACTTCGATTTCTACCGATTTCCGATATCAATCGATAGCAATCGGCGGATTTTAAAATCGATTGATATCGATGATATCGATTGATTTCCGATATCGACTTCTATCGCTTAACTACGTCTGGGTTTAATACATTTTATCACTTTCCTCTAAGAGTTGTTAACGTAACCAGCCTGCCACGCCATCACCTCTTAATCTTTAGCTCAGTAGACAAATTGGTTGTTTACCATTTATGAAAAAATTCCGGAAAATTCGGTCGGGAATTTTCGTTCGGTCGGTAAGAACTTTACGTGTGGTTTACCATTTGCCTGAAATTTCCGGATTGTCGCGGCGCGCCAGACTGGATTCTAGTTTCAACATGATCTGACCATGTTGTGATAAGGAGTCGTACGTCTGAATCTTCCAACTGTCCAATTTTGACGACCCGTCCGTGCTTTCCGAGGAAACAGATAGCGCAGGAGAAACTGATCGGCTAGGATTTCCTATTCTGACAGCCCAGTTGATAAGTCAGCTGTGATAAAATGAAAGAAAACACGTTGCAGAAAATTTGCAATTTTCTCGGGAGAACAAAAAATAGCATAAAACCTGCCGGCAGTTCGATCTTAGACACAAATTAGCGATTTTAAGTCTGCTCACCATTTAAATACAAGGAACAAATATTTGTTGTTTTTGTTGAAGCTATTGTGCTCGGCCAAAAGCCAAGAGGCCTGAAAAGGGTACGAAACTCAAGAAACTTGTAAATGGGAAACGAATTTCCATTCAGAACGTCCCAACCGGGAAAATGGGACTACCTTTTCAGATTTCCGTTTGTCCCGGGAATTTTCCAGTGGGACGAACCAAAAAAACGTTTACCATTTACATCCCAAGAGGAATTTAGTCCGGGAATTTGTGGTAAATGGTGAACAACCATTGAAACGTATCATTTCCCGTGACGTATCCCGGCGGAGGCTACAGAGGAAGTCTTAGCACGAATTTCCTTTTTCCTTTTTTCCGCCCCGCCAACTTTTCGCGTGCCTTTCACTTTCACGTCTTCCTCAATATCTGAAAGCCTGGAACAGGCTAGAATTTGTCAAACAAAACATTTAGCACTTTAATAACAATGGAGCTGTTCACAACAAGCTCTCTCTTGCCGTTCGTTTTAACTGCGAGCTTAAAGGAACAGTATCCCGTTACTGCGCATGCACCAAACTTTGATTTTTGGACAGGATGTCGCGAAATCAAAAGATGCGAGGAGAGTAAGAGAATCTTGAAAAATCCGTTTGCATCGCGCTTGGCCGGGTTCAATACGACACTAAAACTTCTCAGGATTATAGATCAATGATATTTTGTTCCTGTTAAGTTTTTATTTGGGCAAAATCTGGATTTTTTGGCGTTACTTTTATTGCCGTTGGCCGGAGGACCAAAAGATTGGAAGCACTTTGATGCCGATTGAAGGCTTATTTCTTCTGCTAGCTTCCATACAAGCTCAGATAATTGTGAAAGGAATACGCAGAAATGAAACAGCAACAATAAAGACTGTAAGAAAGAAACCGTTGAGACATTGATGTGACTGAGGAGATCTTGTGGAGGGGAGCTTCGTGAAGCAGAATGTTTTGCAACGACGCGTTAGTAAACTTTTAAATGAATCTCCTTACGGCCGACAAAATCGAACAAACAGGCGCTACACGTTTTGAAAAACTAGTGACATGAATCATAATATCATTCTTGACTAATCTTTGTGATGATTCATAGCGTTGAGATTGCATTTTTATTTATGTCTTTCAAACGTTTGAGGCTAGAACGCGAGCAAATCAGGCAGATATTACTGGACTTGGAGCGATTGACCTCTGACACGAGTTTCAAATTAGAAAATATGTTTTTAAAGCGAGCGGAACGAGATTTTCGGGTCGCGAGGCGGCCCAGCTAGCGATAAAATCGCGATGAGTCTTCGAACCGCGAGCCAAATTTTTATATAAGACGAAAGACTTCTTCGAAAGTCTAAAATATTACTTGAGAATATAAACAACAAATCTCTGTCGGCGGTGCGGTCCGGAAGGAAATCTTGTCGATTCAATTTGACAGTTCTATTGTCTTTAAAAGAAAAAACAGATGACGCTCGCGCGTGCGCATAACCGGGACACTGTGCCTTTAATATGCAGCACTTTGACGACTCCTGTAGCGAGTCAACGTAGCGCCGTTTTTGACAAAATAGCCAGAGTCAATCAACAGAACGATAAGAATCTTTTTCTTTTATCAACCGAGGTTAACATTTGTCTACCAATGCGCTGTAGCTCTAAACGAATGTGAATTTTGAGCCGTAGTTTACTTGTTCAATCTCCAGAGCACAAGATTATGCAAGCTGGGTCCTTAATTGTTATTAGCGCAAGGCACTTTTAATATTCAAATTTGGGACAGACTTGGCGACCATGAAATGTTTGTATTTATGATTATTCTTAACTATTCCTACATGAACAATCCACTCTGGGAAAGACTCCTTCATGTACAGTTCAGATCAAGATATTACGTTGCTTGAAAAAGCGTTTTCGGCTTTGCACGTGAATCGACTGTTGAGTGTTGTCCAGGTTAAATATATTCCTTTTTCTGACTACACGTCTACGATTGTAAGCACCTTTTTGCTAAACTACTCATTGAGAAATGTTCTTATAGGCTCTTTTGTGGTAAATTTGTTGTAGTTCTTTCTAGAAAGATTAAACCTGTTTTAGAGACCACGAGGTGTTGGTTGTTATAGCCTGTTCCAGGCTCTCAGATAGAGGGAAGAGGCGAAAGAGTGGGGAAGACGCGGAAGTGAATGGTATGCGAAAAAGGGGGAGGGGCCGGAGAAAGGAAAAAGGAAAGGAGACCCCGTCCTTCCTCTCCTCAGATTCTCCTCCCGTTTTATCTTCATGTTCGCGCTCTCTCAATCCCCGCGGACCCGACCATCTCGGATCCTGGAGCAGGCTATGGTTGTTTTAACAACGTGCTTTAAAAAGCACAGACGCATTCTTGTGAAGAGAATATTCCTTAATTACTTTGTGGTTTAAATAGCTGGCTGATATCGAAAGAAAACAAATTTCAGAATTACGTGTCTGAAACACACATGACACCTCAGAAATACAAACGTAGTCGTTAAACATGGCGCAATTAAGCGGGTTTCGATGACCGGGAATATATCTTTGAGCTGCCGACGAACTTCTAAGAAGTGTCTGGCGTCGTTCTCTTCTCCCGTTCAAAATTTTGTACTAAGCCAACAAAACGGGGTATTAAACGAAGCAGCGTGCCATCTCCTTAGAGTAATTGCCAATATCCAGGTTACGTGTAAGGCGAAACAGGAGCTTTCCCTCTCTGGGCGAACCCTCCATTAAGGCTTTCTGTCAAGGCATTTAACAAGTACATACATACATTGGATTACACTATCTTCTGTTTGTAACCCACGTTGGAGGATTGCTGTGCATGCTAACCAGGTTCCACAGTGTCTTACACTCACTTCGGCAGGAAGGGGCCTATGAAACACGGTTTTGTCTGTTAATAGGCCTGACGTCTATGTCATGCTGGTTTGCTCTAATAAGGGTGAAACAAATTGCCATGGCACTGCTCGGGAAATAATGCGTTATAGGAACTATATAAAGCTTGGTGTTGTAGGGGGCGGTAATGGAGGTTTGTCCCAGAGACGAGATGCGACTGTGTGGTAAGGTACTTTGCAAGCACTTTTGACACTAATTAAGGCTCCCATATACTTCATATTATAGATCCAGATTCTGAAGACGTGGCCATCATTGAAGGCGACATTCGTCGACCCCCAGTGGAGTCTGCGTCTGCTAGCAATGAATACTCCAATGCTGTTCGCCACAAGTTTAGACTGTGGCCTGGAGGAGTAGTTCCTTATGTATTAGATAAGAACATAGGTAAGAAGAAGAAAAACGAAAACAAAACATTTTTCCCCCTCTTCACTGTCCTCATGCAAGTTAGCCTGAGTATATAGAATGTCAGCAAGTCCACAGCAACAAACCAATGAGTGGTGCCGGTTAACTATATATTTTTTATTCTTTTTTTTACTTCTTCATCGCCTTGCCGTATGGATCAGTTTGCCGTTTCATAGTTTTCTAGACTGAGTATTAGGGATTAGGGCGGAGGGTGTTTTAAAGGATTGCGGCACTGTCTGCCTCTTTCGCTTATTTTTTCCCCTTCCTTCCCTCCAGGAACCCAATGCCAGTTGTAGCTTACCAGCGTCCTATGACGGTCTTGTCAAATTCCTAGCTAAATATCAAGGGATTTTTGTTGGCGTACATCGTAAGAAAGCATTTTAAGATTCTGGGGAAAGTATTTTACGTTTGTGGAGGAGTGAAAGAGAAAATCTAGATTTTATCAGCTAATTTAGAGTTTCAAAAGAAAGCCATTGGTCACAGCGAATCCGCCTGCGATTACTGACAAGGCTGAGCTAGCCTCTTCATAGGATTCTTAGTTGACTTGTGATGTTACACCATGGTATTCTAAATTTTGACGATGATTTCAGATCCTTAAACTTGTTCTCACTTTAGTAAACCGTACAAAGCACATGGAAGCTCTACGAAAGGCGACTGAAATCTGGGAAAATAACACCTGCATCAGGTTTATTCCCCGGACAAATCAGTATCGTTACGCCTACATCTATTACGGTCCCAAAGGGTAAGAGATCTTTTTTGAAGCTTACGTTTTGTAATCAATAATTTTTTGGATTGACTGCACTGCAATATGATAAAATGAGATGCAATAATAAATAAATATCTTCTCACGGCAGTGGGAGAAAGAAAGAGTCTTGGGTCTCCGGTATGATTCGAACATATGACATCCCAGAAACTTGGTGGGCGCCCTATCCAACTTAGACGCGGCGGAGAGACCTCCAGTGGAACAAGGCCAGTTACTTGGATTATAAGTTGTAGGCGTCTTGCAAACTGCTAGGATCAGCTGTTTGGATATGTGAAAAAAACATACGTGAAAAAAGAATTCATAACATGCTGATAAGACTGTTCACGGTCCCTGATTATTTGTAAGATTGTCAGGAACAACCGCCTACCGGCCACCTTCCTTTCAAATGGTTTAAGGCGGTGGGCCGAAACCAAGATGGCCACCCGCAATCGTGGCTGCTCGATCCAGACAATCCTAAGGAAAAATGGGGGCCGGTGAACAGTCTCCCGTGTGATCATCAGACTGAGCCTAAGGGTCATATCTCGTGGTATTAAAATTCAATCCTATATTTCGTGAAAAAAAAAGGTCTTTTAAAAATCTTCGAAGAATTTAGAGCACTGGAAATTGATGTACCCACGTATCGCTGCTAGAAAGTTATGACCAATGATTTATACCCTGGCACAATTTTTACCACCTGATCTCAACAGGCTTCTGTCTCAAAATATGGAAACGTCGAATGATAATCACCGCTGTATTCACAAACGGTATTCTTCTTTTAACCGCTATGTATCATTCTCTATCCTGTGATATGTAATCTTTATCTGCCTCTCTACCTCCTTTAATTTCTTTGTGCCGCTACCTCGGTGCCGCTTCTAGATGGATCGCCAGGATTATTAACTCTGTCCAGTGCTGTACTTCCAGTTTCTAATCTAGTAATGTTTTATGTGAGCGACCTATAATTGTACATTCGTAGCTCAAGTCCCAACCTCAGGTTTTGGGGATTTTCTTTCTCTTAAATGATTACCTTCCACTCTATTGGGCAGGTGATCAGAGCTTTCTACCTCCTTGACAGACCTCGCTCTTGGGATTCGATCCCTATCTCTATGGGGGAAGGTTGGCTTTTGGGCGCCAACCACTCGTCACCGCACGCCCAGAATCTGTAAGAGTACTCCCACGTCATTCATACTTAAGACAGGAACTTAGATCGGTGGTGCTATTTTGGACCCCTTCCAAACAAGGAGCATTTGCTAGGGGCCGCGTGCACATCCCCAAATTCCGCCGACGGGCCATAAAGAGGCCAATGTTAAATAAATGCATTTTTAATTTGCCACGAGGGTAAAAAAAAAAATAAAATAAAAAACGGACAAATTAATACCTTTTTAGTCGAGTAGCAAGTGTTCCTGAGCGAACTCTCGCTATAATTCTACGCTTACCTCACCGAGTGTTTCTACGTAAAACAAAACCTAGACAGAAACTAGCCACCGTCAGTGACTGATATGCTTCCCTATTTTTTTCAGTTGTAACTCTAATGTCGGTGCACTTTGGAGCAAACCCTCAAAGGTATCCCTTGGTTCACGCTGCTATCTGGTTTCCATAGCAACACATGAGCTTGGCCATCTCCTTGGTCTTGGACATGAGCAAAACAGACCTGATAGGGATCAGTATATTGACATTTTGTGGGAAAACATCGATACAGGTCACTTATTTCAGTGCTTCATAGTTACATTTTCTTTTCTTTTTGTGTAGGAATAGAAGTATCACTTAAAACCAATTATAATTAGGTTTTGATTATGGCGCAATGTTCTCATTAAGACCTGGCCTGGGTTGTTTCAACGTTAGATAGCGCTATCAATTGGATAAATCACTATCCAGCGGATAAGTATTTAGAAAACCAATTGAACTATCGAGCGGATAACATTATCCACTTTTTGAACAACTGAGGCCAGATGTTCCCTGTGACAAACTTGCAAAGCTAAAACTAACAGTCAGTAATATTCCATCAATTCCAAGGGTTTTCAGGGCGTGTCACTGTATCTTGTTGCAAAAATCCACAGCAAAGTAGAGTAGAATAGGATTTCCAGGAATGACAGAGATAACGGAACTTACAAGAGACGCCCTTTAATCAATCCTGGTTTCCATATGATCGTCGAGATCGTCCCGATCGTTTCAAAAAATTTCGAGACGATCTAGACGACTGGGAGCCTTGCTATCTGCTTTTTCTCTCGATTTTGCGGCGTCGAGAAGCTAGAAGAGTTCCACGAAAACATAGTATCACGTCGAGAACTTGATGTCACGGACTTTCTCTAGTTTCAAATAGCGCCCATACGCGGTGCGAACATTTTTGCATTATTTTGTTTCGACTCTCGATTACTGGTAAGAAATAAAAGTGATGCCTGTTTCGGGATATCCTTCGATCGTCCCGATCGTTTCAGTCGTCTGAGAGCGTTTGCATATGCCAAATCGCTTCAAAATTTACACGATCGTCCGGATAGAACTCAACTCTGTCCAAGCGATCGAGGTCGTCTCAGTCGTCCGGGTCGTTTGCGATCGTCCGGGTGGCGTTTCCATGTGATCGTCCAGATCGTCTGAACATTATTTGAGACGACTTGGACGATCCGGACGATCATATGGAAATCAGGCCTTTTAAAGCTTAAAAGTTAAAAAGTTAAAGTTGAAACTTTAAAAAGTTAAAGTTAAAACTTAAAAGTTCCAGAGGTGTCCAACACCAGTTTTCTAGTCTTGCTAAAACAACATTTTTTTAAAATTACAGCTAAACATAGAATCTTCAGAAAGAGTAGCCACTGGGTCTTCCAAAGTCTCGGAGTTCCTTATGACTACAGTTCCATAATGCATTACAGCCGCTACCAGTACTCCAAAAATGGCGAACCAACAATGGTATCACGTGACCCTAACATTCAGTCGTTTGGGGGTCTCATCCCGAGTAAACTGGACATAAAACAGGTTAGTCGGCTTGTCACGAAATTTTTCCGTCAGTTGTATAATTGGCTAGTCTTGTCACAAACTTCCCCCAAATATTTAATTGCTAGCCATCCAAATAGAGCATATTTTAGTTGACGGTCTTGTAGCTCTGGCTCTCGTACATTGATAAAGACCTAAAGTTGATAATCCAGCCGAGGATGAATGTAAAAGCTCAACTACTTTTCCTGCCAAGTTTGTTTTTTAAAACAATTTCTTGTTTCTGTCTCATTTCAGATGAACCTTTTGTATTCATGCTCAGGTATGAATCATTTCATTGTATCTAATTAATTATTACATCTCGAATGGCTTTCATTTCTGAAAATTGAAGGAAGTATCTCACTACCATTGTTCTTGTTCCAGAAATTCCTCTTTTTCCAAAACATTTCTCTCTGCGATCAACTTCCTCTCCATATCTGAACTGTATTGCAATGAATCAGTCACAGGACACAGAATGGGGAGTTAAATATTTGTGCTACAGGACGAGCATGAAAAAACTACACTTATCATGGTCGTCTAATGGTCCAATTGGTGGACAGGATTGTATTAACACTGCCATGCCTTATGAACGTACTGCCAAGCTTTGGAACAACAGTTTCCTTTGCTTACCGCGTGACAGTTTGTTGAAGCTACGTTGGTCTGTATCTGGGGAATTGAAAGGATGGGGTTGTCTGTTTATGAGGAACGGGCAACACGCAAGGACAAGATACTTTCTTTGTGGGAAGACCAAGTACGAAAAGAGCGGTAAGCTTGATTTCTTACAGCCTGACCTTTCCTTTTTTATGGGATACAAAGTCTTTTTGAACAATTATTTCAGAGACCTCGTTGATACAGGTATGATCATCATCATCATCACCATCATTAATATTATTATGATTATTAATAATCGGTCATGAGTTTTGGGAATCTTTATCCAAAAGGATTGAACTCAGTCAATTTTCAACTATCCAGGTCAGTGTATGTGACTTACTGAAAAACAAAATATCCAGCCTTTTACGGACCATTCATATTTTACAATTGCGTCTGGTATTTACTATTTAAATGAGAGCAGTAGAGGCTTTAAGGACAAAACGTCTGTTTACAAAATCTGACTAAACGTTTGATCATTAAACAAAAAAATGTTTCTTTAATCTCTAATCAGATGGTGGCTGGTCCAAATGGTCCTCTTTTGGCCCTTGTAACAAGAAGTGTGGTGGAGGATTCAGAACACGCGTGCGATCATGTGACTCACCGACACCCAAATATGGTGGAGACCCATGCAATGGAAATTACTACGAAACAATTTCCTGTAACACCAATCGTTGTCTTGGTAAACTGATCAGTTCTTTTTTTGTCATTTATTTCAAAATTCGTCGGTGAAGAGCACGATGACAGACAGACTGGTAAATCGACCGTTGAGTTAAGGCCCTTATTGACAAGTTAACAGGCGTACGCTACACGTTTTTTACTGTTATAACAGATTTGTTTGAATGTTATTTTGAAGACCTGATACAGATATGATGGTCATCATCACCGTCATTATTATTATGAATTATTATTATTATTATTATAAGTATTATTATTATCGGTTTTCAGTTCTGGGAATCTTTATCAAAGCTGATTGAATTCAGTCAATTTTCAAATTACATCGTACCAGGGCCAGAACTAAGAGATTTTGGATTGTAGCCGATTATCTACTTAATTGTTTGACTCTCGGATTCTTACTAAGGATAGACGCTTTTAACTCTTTCAGGGTTTCCATCATGGCCGCATGATTTCACGTTTATGTTCATAAGCTTCACTCCAAGACGAAAAATGTGCATCTCCATATATGAGAGATACCAGTATATTTACTGGGCAAAGGCCAAACTCTGCTGGGCCAGTACAAAGAGATACATTGACGTGCGATGGTCTGATAAGGGGCCTATAGAAGACATGCGTTGTACTCAGATCAAACAGCAAAGCGGAAAGGATCAAACTGGTGGCTGGGAAAACAATTACCTTTGTATTAGAAATGCACCTTACAAGTGAGTTAATGTATATAGGATGCTTGGGGGATTAGAGGACTTTTGTGAGAGTAAGGAAGAAAGCGTAAACTAATCTTCGTTTCTGAGATCTCCTCTTCTTAACCGGAAATTCCCCCTGACGAACAGATAATTTCCGTTATTTGACCTCAGCAGTGTCTATAGCACTAATGTTAGTGGGGCCGAGTGTGACGATTTTTCAGTCTCAAACGCCAAACAATGCATCTTTCGGTGCCTGATTTTGATAGTCGAGTGTGCCTCACTTTCGTTGCTGTTCACTCGTTGCTGTTTATTACTGGTACTTCTCTTTGATGGACGTCTGTTCGTTTGTCTGCTAAATAAAACAAGGGATCTTGACTTAACCCAAATTATATTCAGTTAGCAATCAGAATGATCCCGTCGAGGAGCGCTCATTTCCCATCCAGGATTGGTTATCTCGTTTTGCGCGAAAAAGGCATGGTGACTTCAGTGTAAATACACTGCAACTTCCCATGAGACCACGCGCTCCTCCTAAGTGTCGTAAGGGACGCTGGAAGGAGACGACATGACCAGTTTGTTTAAAATTTCGAGATGAGAGGAGAATGAATTTTGGATCGCAGGACTTGAGTTTATATTTTTTAATACCATCGCCCTTTAGTTTAAAGCTTAAAGTAAAAAAAAATATATGTATATATATATATGTCTTAATTTCAACAACTAAAGGGAGTAAATTGTTAACGGCTGCAATGTAATTGTTCCGTACATTCAGTTTTAGGTGGTCAACAAATGGCCCTATCAGAGGATTGGCATGTATAAGATGGCAAAATAACGCGTTTGCCTATCGAAACCTTTGGCAGAACAATTACCTCTGCGCAGAAGAATACCCTCGGCCAACACGGTGTATGTTAGATTCTTTGAGAGTAAAAATATTTATCTTTTTTTAACGTGGATAGAGTACATAAGAATTTAACTTCAGCAACATTTGCCTACAATTGACAAATTGAGCGAGAGAATGATACTGGATAGGGTTAAAAAGAACGCAAATTCATTTAATTAATGACCTTCTCACTGCCGTCGTGTCATTTGCTTGCTGTTGTTTCTCGTTTACTTAAGGTGGCTGAACACAGTTTTGTGAGCGGTCAGCGGTAACTTGAGTGACGGAGTGTGTTTCAAATCAGACAAACAAACATGGCGGCGAAAAAGCAGTGGTAGACAGAAGACGGTTTCTCAAAATCTACTCATCAAAATTTTCGATATTTGGCAGAATTTTTACTTCTATCGTATTTTAAATAATGAGAAATTTAAAATGGAAGTTGAACAGACGAATTTTGTGATACTTTTAATAATTACAGTACAGTACTTTTAATAATTACAGTAAAAACAACCCGTCTGTTAAAATTTGGTCAAATAAGTTTCAAACGGTAATGATTAACCATAGTAAGCTGTGTGAAAGTTTATAGGAAAATTAGGAAAATCTAATGAGCGAATTTTATGTAAACTGAGCAAAAGTGGAATTTTAAGATTGTATTCAATCGTTCATGTTGCCATGGAAACTACGAAAACGTCAAATTTTACCTGTCAATCAAAATCTTTCATCAGTATATTTTTCACTTGCCAAGTTTCAGCTTGTGGGCTGCAACCTTTCCTTTGCCATGATTTGGCACAAACTGCCAAAACTGTGTTCAGCCACCTTAAGTTAGACGGCCTTTTTTCATACATTTTAGTTCGCGTGACGTTATCAAAAAATTATCTCTTCACCATTCATGGGGGAGCTTGCGTGTTTTAACGACGCTGTAAACTTTACCGGTGGGGGTTTAAGCTCCTGGCAGTTCCAACCAAGCCGGGCAGGTTACAGGGCCGGGAAGGGGACAGACTAAAAGCAGCACCTAATCCTCCAGGTTTGGCGTAGGGCTAACAGCCCCAACCGGGAAAAACAATATCTTGTTACCAAAACTGCAACCATACAAACTATACAAACAAACCCTGGGTCCAATAGGGTGAAAGCTTAGGATAGTCCCAGTCCGGATGAAGAAGATGAGTGAGTGAGTGATTTTTTAAGAAAGTATACGTTCTTTTGACTGAAAGAAGCCGTTTTTTGAGTAACATCACGTGGTCTGAAATGAGTGAATTAAGAAGCTCATGTCATTCAGTATTTTGTTTTGTTTAAAAACAAAACAAAATAACAATATCATCATCATCATCATCATCATCATCATCATCAACAACAACAAGAACCCTCTAGTTTTAAAATGAACCCAAGCGCAAAAACTTTTCGAATATGTGAAAATATGAGTTTATTTGTATAAAAATGGAAACTAATTTTCACATCATTGACTTCAACTTACATATATTCCCTCGTTTTGGGAAAGAGGCTAGAGACAACTCCGAAATGGCTTATTATTTATTAATTAATGCCTTTATTTCAGACTATATGTATTCTTGGAACAGTGATATAATCAAAGGGAAACTGAAAAACCTTTTTATAGTTAGTATCAATGGTAAAGAAATACTAAGACCTGTTTGATTTTTTCCTCTTTAGCTCTTAGCACAGGTTGCTATCCAGGATGGCGTTCTTTTATCGTTAACAGCGTTCCATATTGTTACCTTTCCTTCCGCAACAAAGATCGGACCTGGGATGAAGCGCGGAAATTCTGTGAAGAGAAGAACGCGACACTCGCCAGCATCAATAGCAAACGGGAACAGGATTTTGTCAAACAGATTATCGCAGATAGTGTGTGGATTGGTCTTTACAATAAACAAGAATGGGAATGGACGGACGGGTAGGAATAGCGATGAAAAGAACCACTTTCTTAATGCTGACTATAGCCTGTGTAGATGCCAGTTACTAATGTAACGGTTTATAAAGGTACGGAAAAAGGGCAACACAAAACGTGCAACTTGTCTTGCAACATTGCTGCAAAACAAGTTGAATAGCGATGTTGCGCGTTTTACCACCCATGTTCAAACCTGTTAACAACCTGATTTGTTGCAAGACAGGTTTTATGTGGGTGGTAAAACGCGTGATATCGCTACTCAACTTGTCTTGCAGCAATGTTGTAAGACAAGTTGCACGTTTTTTGTTGCCCGTTTTTCCGTACGTTAAAAGGCAGCAAATTAAAGTTATGAAATTCAACCACAACAACAAGAGCACTAATTGATGACGCTATTTCTACTTTTCCTAATGGAGACGGGACCGTCATTTTTCGTGGTCGTGGGAGCCACGCTAAGCCGGTCTAGCCGATTGCAGGGCAAAGGAAGTACCTTTTTTTCTCAGTTATTTTAAGATACTGAGTATTGGTCCGGCTCCAGGAATTGAACCCACGACCTCCCGCTCTGCAGTCAAGCGCTCTACCGACTAAGCTAATCCCAGTAGAATATAAGTTTAAAATCTTAAATATCTTTGTTTGGTTTGTTTTACACTTAACGCAAAGTATTTTAACCCTAACCAAAAATTTTCGTTGTTAAACTTCTGTCAAGCTCATCAAATGGATGGTGGTTTGTATAAGCTCGACTACTGAATGTCCCATTCACACCAACTAAACATGTTTCATTAAACCAGGTTTTAAAGAATGAAAAACAGGCCCAGTAAATTGGAATATAGGGTTCACACAGGATTCAAATTAAATTCAACATGTTTTGTAATTTGTACTAAATTTGCAATCAATTCAGTTAGTTAGCAGCTTTCATAAAGGAAAGAAAATTCACACCATGTTCAACTAAACAGCTTTTAAACATGTTTAAGCTTCGATATGAATGGGGCTTAAGTCAAGGTGGCACTTTAAGAGCATGCTTGTTATGACCACCTCCCTGAGGTGTTCCAAAGGCTCCTCCTCCTAAGTGCTCAGTGTTCCCTGAGCCTCCCTGGATGAAGCCTTGTTGATCAACCCCGGGGCATAGTGATCCCCACCTACTTTGCTGCAGCGTTTCTCGGCTTAGTAAAGCCTGCAGCTTCTGTAGTTCTCATTGATTTGCTGTGCGCACCGGGAGCAAAGTAACTGATCAAAGGAAACTGAGCAAAGTATCTGGTGCCAAAACCTTCATTTGTTAGTAACTGTTGTGTCATTCTGGTCATTTCAGGAGCAACGTCACCTACGTCAATTGGAGTGCTGGTGAACCCAACAATGGTGGCACATCTAATGTGACTGAGGAGTGCGTGGTGAACATCAGTTTCAGTGGAAAATGGAATGACTTCCCATGTGACACGAAATTTAACTTCATTTGCAAAATGAAAGCAGGTCAGTTGAGAAAAAAATTGGCTGGCCGTGTGTCCTTCTCCCCTCGGTTACCATTGCCATTTTAAGACTTAAAAGTCATAGACCTGAATCCTGCATAGACGCTTACATTGCCAAGATCGTTACTTACTGACAAAATCCGTGAATTGTGGGATGTAGAGAGAGTGCCTTGTAGGCTTGCAGCGACTTTATGGCCGGGGTTATTGAGATAATATACTCCTTATTATTGCCTAAAAGGGAGGGTTCTCCCCGAAAGGGATTCCCCAATAAGTCTTAAGTTATATGAAAAGGTCCGAATTTCACGAGTTGAAGTTCTTAAAAGTGTAAGAAAATCTGTCAATTAGCTATCAAAAATGTTCGGTAAGGTATTTAATACATTTCTAACAGACGCGCCTTGAGTATGTACCATTTTAATCTTTACACTGCTTCATGAGACTGACTTTAAAAAAAAAGCATGCTGTGTTCTTAAGAAGGTATTTAGTGGGGTCCCATTTTTCAGTAGTTATACGAACTACGGACATACAACGGGTACCTTTTCGGAAAAAGAGGGATAAGAAGGGAGATAAGACGAAAGGGCCACCTTTTCTATCAAGAATGATATATAAAAGAGTAAGGGGTTAAACCAATGGCTTAATTAAATTCGTTCAAAGTTTATTGTTTTAAGGAAATTGAAAGTATGTAAACGAAAGCTTCGCTTTTAGGCTTGGCCAAATCTATGTATTATTGATAAAATCCAACTAGTGGTCTATTATCAATGCTGCGTTCTGATTGGTTGAGCTACTACTAGGCTATATGTTATAGACTACTAGTAGCGAAACTAACTAAAATTTTTTTATTCTCGATATTTTTGACCAACTAGTTGGATTTTGCTAAAACAGTTTTTCCTGTCGCCCTTATGTCCTCTGAGTCAATAGCTCATTCGGCCTTCGGCCTCATGGGCTATTGACTCAGAGCGCATTCGGGCTCGAGGAATAATTGTTAAATAGAACCCGTTCTATGAATTGGGGTCTGACAAGGACCTTGCAGAGAAGATCTTGGTGCCTTAAATTATACAGTCAACAAAATTGAAATGTAATACATAGATTTAGCCACGGCTAAAAGCGAAGCTCTGGTCAATAATACTTGTAAACAAAAAAAATTAAATCTAGTAAAATGCTAAACGGGGAGGGCAATGAAAATGGCATCAAGATCAATAGATCTAATTAGTAAAAAAAACAAATTGCACGTGCAGCACACTTTTTTTCTAATTAGCAAAAAAACAAATTTGCACGTGCAGCACGCTTTTTTGTCTTTCAGTTGCCGTTGTTTTGCACAACTACAGCGCTGTTTTGTAGGACTAAAACGTCAAACTTCCTAGTTACACATTATTTTTATGGAGGAATTGTCGTGTGTGCTTACTCAACATTTTGTCTCCTGTGTTCATGTTCGCTTTTATTTTTCACTGCCGCTTATTTACACTTTGCTGGCCGCCAGCATTTCTCATTGCCACACATCCGCTTTGAATTTTCATGTTTTTCTTCCTACAAAATTCGTCTCTTTTGTTTTTAATCACTCGCTCTAGCTCTTTCTCTGGAATAACGGCGAAAAAAACACGACTTTGTTGTCGTCTTTTTCTTCCTAAAAGTCGGGGCGGCCATGCAAATTCTTTCCAAATAAAACCTTGAGTTGCATTTGGGTTGCCATACCTGTTGATTGAACTATTTTACATTGGTATGCCTGTGGTGCGGACGGACGGTCGGGCAGGCGGGCGGTCGGTGTACGGTCACGTGATTACCAAATTTTCTCGGATGGGTAGTTTACCACATTTCTTTACCCATGGTGCTCCGCTGCGCGCTTCGCGCGCGAGAGCTCCGCTACTATGTGTAAGTCATGGAAATACAACCTGATTCTTTAATTCCTACTGATTTCCAACGACTTGTACTGATTGTACTTATGTTTGTGTTTTACTTGGCTTTTAGTTTTGTAACAAGAGATGGTCAGTATTCCTAATGGACGTCGTTTGTTAAAGACTGGTACCATGCAACATTATGAAAGCTGTTAATACCACCATCTATCGTCATAAATATCTATGCGGTGGTGTTGCTGGAATAGTAATATAAATGAGTTTGCCTAAAATTTTCTCGTCCCTCGAGCTACAATATACGACAAGTTGGGTTTTTAGAGGATTTTAAAACAACCTTTCGTTATGTAACGTTTGTAAAACGACAAGAGTCAAGAGGATTGATCCTTAGACTTGAAAGAAGCTTAACGATTTACTTTATTACTGAGTCAGTATGTTAAACTGCCAAAAAGTAAAATTGCCTAGTAAACACACTTTTAACCCAAAAAGTGTAATAGTCTGGACAACTTATTAGTTACGGTACTCACTGGGTATTACTCAAAAGGGCGTTTCAGTCTAAAGAAAGAACGATTTAACACGTGTCTTAACTTTAAACCCAATTTACGACACGCAACCGTGATCATTCGTTTTTCTCTATTTGGCCCTTAAAACTTTCGTAACACTTGACCACACTGTATTGCAACTGACAAGCTATACTGGTGGGTAAAAGTAAGCAAAAATGCTTTGCTCTTCATCCAGCAATACTGTCAATGTTAAGTTTACGCTTGCTACTGAAAATCAGGGGAGAGAAAGGCAACCGTGTAGACGTTTTCTAGGCGTAAATGTGATGAAGTAATGGTACTGAATAGAAAACGTATACCAAGAGAGGATAGAGAGCTTTTTCCTCTCTTGCGTATACCGATTCTACTACAGTAGGCGTTTGTCGAAACTTTTGATCACAAGATTCACAACAGATGAGAAACTCACTGTCCAAATATTTTTCCCCATTGTGATCCTTTATCAGGGAAATTTCTTTTGTTACAAATGATATCTGAAATTACTCCGTATCTGTGAACTTCAAAGAGATCATAAGCTACTAGGGAGAGGGGCAGGGTAAGATAGCAGCTCCCAGGTGTCTTAGTTTTCCAACTTACCGGCAACAAATTAAAGTTCTTTGTAGTCTCTAAAACTGTATTTTGTGGAATAGTATCTTTAGGAGTTAAAAGGGAGTTTAAGATGCAAAAGGGGAACAGCAACTAGGCTTTGATAGATTAGCATAATATGCCGCTTACAGTGCTTGTACATTTCTAAAATTATGCCAATAGTTATGCTAGTTTTTGCAAATTATGCTCATTTTAACAAAAAAGCAGAAACTCTGCTTCTCTTTTTTACTTTAAATCTAGATAAAATACCCTGAAAACTATGCAACAAAGAAGTGAATGGCAAGCACGTTTACCCTACTTACAATTCCCTGGCCCTTACCACTGTCTTGCAAAAGATAAAACAACAGAACTCTGACAACTATTAAACTCAAATAATAATTAACACGCCATCTCGGGTAACCGAGCTAGTTATGAGCATGCGTCGAGTCCTGTGGAAAGATGTCCTGTCACTTCCTGTAGGTATAGATCCCCCGAATGTGACAAGAAGCAGACAGAAAAAGTGATACTGATCTCAGGCCAAACAAAAAATTGGTTGCATGATCAATAAATGACAATTTTGCGTTGCAAAATTAGCCAAAAATGTTATTGATGACGAATTATGCCAAAAATTATGCTAGCACTCTCTATCAAAGGCTAACAGCCAATAGCTTTAATAAGTAAGAAAACAAAAAAAATGTCACATGTGTGACATTGCCGTCAATGTCAGGAGAATTCGGCAACATTAATTTTGATAAATTTATTTTTATAACATAGCGCGCGTGATTGCCCTATATAAGTCCTATTGGGCCGCTATGAACAAAATCTTTATTTACGCACGCCCGTGCGTAAATAAAGATTTTTTTCATAATGACGTGTTCAGCTGTGTTTTTCGTCTCTTTTCCTAAGTACCCAAAACTCGACGGCAATGATGAAAAACCTTCTACACTTTTTTTGGAATTTAGCTTCTTTCTAGCCACTCAATCCAACAGTAAAAGCGGTGAAGATTTTTCGCCGATAATAGAGCCTGAATGATTCGTTCAAAAGTCTGCCGTAAAGACTGACATTTAAGTGGAAAAAGACCACAAATTGGTCTGTGACGGAAAACTTCTAATTTGTCTAAGGTGTCCTCCGTTTTTAACGTTTGTTTATCCTTTACAAAACAAGTTAATTATAAAGTAAGCTCAATAGCGAAAAATTTTGCACTCTCGTTATCGCCGAACAATCAGACTGGGGCAGGAAAATTTCTCTTGCAATAACAAGACAAATTACTCAAGAAGACATAAATTTTTAATTGTTACGCACAAAAACTCTGAACTGCTGCCAGGTGTTCTCAAGAAGCCGTAATGACCAGCCATTGTTCGTAAATGAATATAAGTACAATAGGATGACAGGCGTCTTCGCTAAAAAACAAGTGTCTGGATTTCGCCGAGCAAAACATAAACTGACATCTTTTAAGCAAATCCAAACCATACTCCACGACTTCTTACGAACATGTGAGCCCGTCTGCAGAGTATGGCAGAACTCGACGAGATCTCGCGCGTGCAAGGCCGTTTTTAGGCCCTTATTTCTTATAAATTTTTAAAAAACCTCGCGCGTGCGCCTGCCATACTCTGCAGACTGGTATGATGTGAGTATTTTAACTTTAGGTGAACTTTAAGCCTCTTTTACCTTTGTTTTGCTTAGTTTCCATTGATCGTTCACGAATAAATAAGCAAATTTTCTTTCTCAGTTTTACAGAAAGAATTTTCATCCAAACTAGACGATTATCAGCCAATAAAAGCGTTAATGTTTTTGTGTCGCGCGTTACGAGAATTTTGCAGTTAATCGAAAAGCAAGCATTTTTGTCAGCTATGTTATAAAAGAATTTGCTCATGCTTTTAGCTAGCTGTGCGTATATCGAGTCATGGATGCACTTGGAAAGTTTGGAGAGCACTCAAGAAGCTAGAGTTGCTCTCGACTGCGCCTCGAGCTACTCTTACGCTTTCGTGCTCTCCAAACTTCCCCCGTGCATCCATAACTCGATATACACACGCTGAGCATGAGCAAATTC